CCCTGTGAAACTCCAAGTCCTTTCCTAGTTTTCAATACATTTTATCAATATAAAATCGTTTTATTATTTTATATATATTATATATATAATAGTAAAAATATTTTATTAAAACTTTCCAGGTCTGAAACTGTCTTCTTCCTTTCATTAGCATTTTTCAAGACAGGGAGGAGTTTCAAAGTTGCTGTCCTAATGGAATTTAAAATTTGATTCATATTCTGCTACTTGACTGCCTATTGAAATTTCTGTCATCATACTGACTATAGGATTTGATTTTTCATGAATTCACTGCTAATTTACACAGACACCATTTTCTAGGGAGATCTCAGAAACTCATATATATGTATATGTATATATATATATTCTATATTTGTGTGTGTGTGTATAATATATGTATATTTTTTTCTTTTTTAAATAAGGTTTACTATAGCAAAGCAAAGAGAATTCTGATATAAATTGTCTGGGACATCATATAGTTTTTTTTGTCATTTCTTTTCTATTCATACTATGGCATGTGTCAGCTTTAGTCACACTGGTGTCCTACAGATCAGCCCACTGGGATAATCATTCCTGTTTGCTCCCAACATCTGGCTAGCAGCAGAGGCAGATAGATACCATAGTAAAGGCATGTCTGTGCTGCTCAGCAATAGAGTGTATAGCTGTAATGGAACTTGCTCCTTGATCAGGGGCCACATGGCTGTGTCATCCTGGCAGCCTGCCTGCCTTGCAGAGACCACAGATGGCACAGGCAGTGGCTGCTGCAGTCCCAGACTCTGAGATGTGGAGGGGGAAGGCTGCACAGCATTGTGATGACCAGTCCCACACAGAGAAGGGCAGGCAAATAGGCATGTACCTGATTTGTAGTGACAGAAATGCAGTGAACCTCATGCGATGGGGTTGAGAAAATTTTACTCTTCATAAGGTTTGCAGAGGAAGCTGCATGGGCTGACTTCAGCCCTAGATTCTGGCAGTGATCAGGAGTTTGGGCTGCTGCTGTGACCAGGTCAGTAGATGTCCAGCTGTCCTATATCAGCATATGGTGCACCACACCACTGATGAAAGGGCTGAATGGCTTTTAGTGCTCCCAAGGTGAATGGCATGGTTGGAAAACTAAAGCTACCTCATTTTTAGTGTGTCTGCTGTGTAGATCTGCCTTCGGTATGCTCTCAGTCTTCTTGCAAACCTCCAACATTTTTTTCTTCTCACCCTGACAAAGCTTTTAGAAAAAAGCTAAAATGAACACCAATATACAATCAGAAGGGAAAGTACAGAGCCTATTAAGAGTAATGGATAAATACATCACTGAGGGTTCTGGTCCTCAAAACACAGTTGTCCCCTTCTCTAATGCTGACTGCAGCAGCACTGCTCAGGCACAAAGTGGTCTTGATAGGAAATGCACTGTGGATTTTGTTTGCACACACCAGTTGTCCTGTATTGGGGTTATCCTAAGACCACAGAGGTACTGTGGTGTCCCACAGCAATACTGTGGGTGTCAGATGAGCACTGTCACCTTAGTGAGGTCCTGCACATCAGCCCACCAAAGTAACTGAGCAGAGTTGCTAAGTACAGCTGGACAGAAGATGTATATATATTGATACCTTAATTTTTACATAATTTTTTCTTTCTCCCTTCAGTTAATATAGTTCAATTATTCTAAGTCTCTTCGTTGACCAGTGTTTTTCTCATGCTATTTAGATTTCTCTTCTCTTAATTATTAGTGTTATCTTAGCAATGCTAAATTACCTCAGTCATAGACCTTTAGTCTCCAATATACCAATTTCCTAGGAGTTCTTTTGTCGTTCCGATTAGGAACGGCTATAAAGAACGACACAAACTCTCAAGGGAGTTTTAACACGAGAATTCCCTGGTTTATTCCTTTAGGCTTGTTTTATAGACTGGTACATGGAAGGTATGGAAAAGAAACTCTTATTGGTTAACAAAGTGCTACATCACCATCATTGGTCAGAGGGGCTCACCACCCCCCTGACTTTCTCCTGCAAGGAAAACAAGGACAGACAAACAACACCTGGCAGTTGTTTTCTGTCTCTGAGGATTGTTTTGAAATCCTCCTTTGAATTTCTCAGGCTAGCTTCTCAGGCAGGACTGAGAGGCCATGGGCCTGCAGTTTCTGCAGCTCCCTGCAGCCTGTTCCAAAGCTAGCATCCATATTCTTTCTTCTTTTTATTATAAGGTTTGGTAAAGTCTGTCTAAGACAAATTAAAATTCTTCAAAGGCTGACCTACTATATCAAATGCTACTGACGTCACTATCCTTAAAATTTTTGGATAAATCACTTTTAAGTATTTTTCATGTTTATGGGCACAGCATATTGAGATAATTTTAGTTTAGGAGATCATCCCTCCATTTGTCAGTAAGGGGATGAAACTTAATTTCAGATGGAAATTAATTTTAGCTGTAGTGATTACAGATTTACATCAGATGGCTGTCTGATAAAACACATGTAAAAGACAGAATTTTTCTCATGGAAAAAAGAAATTTCTTTCAGAATTTGCTTCTGAAGAGTCTTCTTCTCCCTAGATAGACTGGTAAGTGGCAGGCCAATACATCTATATAGTAGAAAGCAACCTGAGAAAGTTAAAACAAATGCCAAAAACCCAAGATTTGCATAAAGGCTACAATTTAGACCTACCCTTGTTTATAATTGACCTGATACCACACAGCACATTATGGTTGTTTGGAATAGGCTTCTTCCTTTTTACTGTGTTCACCTCCACGTTTCATTATACATGAAGCAGTTGCAAATATTCTCTATATGCTTTAAAAAGTTATTCAAGAGAGAATCATAGCATTATGGGATGTAATTCTGTAAAAGCCACAGTTGTTATTCAACGCCAGAGGATGTGCTGATGAGTCTGACCCTGCCCAGCCACAGCTCCTACATTCCCTGCAGAAGGGAATAAAGTTCCTGTGGTGCACATAAAAAAATATGCTGGGGAAAATAATCTGGGTTATTCCTGTCTCAGGCAAAGGCAAAACAATTAGAGAGATTGGTTTTGCTCAAGAACCTGGGTGCATTTGGTGGGTAATGGGAGAGGATTGGGAAGTCCAGTGCATGCCTCAAGGAGATTTGATTTTGGATTAAAATAGACAATTAATTAATTAAAGTCAACTCAATCAACTTTCGGGAATGGACCACAGACTAAGAAGAATCATATGTGTGTCTGTGTGTGTATGTATATTTATAAATCTCAAAAGACAGGAAAGGAGATGGGTTTAACTGGGATGTATTGGAAAATGTAGGACCTGGGCATGACATGAATGGTACTTGCCAAATGGGGCTAAACCATGGCACATGATGTGGTTTGGCTTTTGTTTTGTTTCTTTTTTTTCTTTTTTCTTTATTTTTTGCAGTGCACGAAAAATAAATGGAAAAAGGATTGCTTCTCTAGCCTATATTTCTTTTAGGCAAATACCAAGAGACAAAAGGAGAAACCAACAAGGAGTCAGGCCTCATTTGTTTCCCTCTTCATGGACTTACCTGGGTCTTAATCACATTTATTTGGGGAGAATAAATGGAAATAATATGAGGAGGTCCTCAACCTTCATCTATTTCCAAGAAAATCATATTGGGACATAATAATATTATTGAAGATTTGGTTTGTATTGTAAGCATTTCAGGGAGTTCTGAGTATATGAAAACAGGATTTTATGAACTTTCCTGATTTGCATATTCCACTGGAACAGCTATGATAGTAATAAAAATAATAATTCTTCTTAGCTTAAAATCTTTGAAGTGGAACAAAACACTGAATGTTCATTGTGAAATGCACAGCTGATTATATTTAAAGAATACTATTACATGATAGGTAAAATTATATAAAATAGGACAGAAATTATTATTATTAAGACATTTTACTAAATTAACTAGCATTAAAATGAATAGCATTTTACTAGGAAGAAGGTTTTCTAGAGCTTGTCTCTAGAGAATAATCACATCAGGATGGAAATTACATTCAAGAAGGAAAACACATCCATGTGTGTGGCTCTCTAGGAGTGTGTATGAGAGTGAGATTAAGAAGGAAAGTTAGCACACTGAGAATTTCTTCCCACTGTCTTGCATCCACATTACAAATCTATTTCTTGCCTGTTGTGCAGGAATCGTGGAATTAACTCTCTGCTTTTCTGCTCTTACACTCCCAAAGAGAAATGCAACGGATTTTGGATTGTTTGTTGGTTTGTTTGGGGGTATTTTATAATAAGAGAAATATGGGATTGAATCTGAAGATTAATTAAGCAAAACTTCCAATAAGAAATTGAAATTAATGACTAGAAAAGAGCTAAAATATGAAAATGTTAACTATTCTGAACCAGCTGAGATGAAACTGAGAGAATTTGAGTTAATATCTATGTAAAATAAACAAATATGCCTTAAGAATCTGCGCATGAATGTAGTGCTTTTAAAAGTACAATTAGTTATTATTACTGGCTGAAGTCCAGAAAAATGGAACTACACACTGTGCAAAAATCTTGACACAGGTGTGCCTTTATTTTGGTCCACACCACCTTAGCAACCCCAGCTTTCTCATAAGCTCAAAGTGCCAGTCAAGCCCAGGTGGATGTTCATTGAGATGTGAACAGTTCAGGTCAAAATGACTATATTAATTTCCAGTTGTGATCCAAGCAAAGATTTGGTGAACAGAAACAATTCAGTACTACTTTAACTAAAAATATATGTTTAAATAACCAGCAAGACCTCGAGGTTACATAGGAAGAAACATTCAACACTAATTTTCTAGAACTGCAGTTTAAAAAGGGAAAAAAAAACTGATGTAGGTTTCAGGCCTTCAAAAAAAACACCAAACCAGTGTATCTGGTCAATACCCATTTGCTTTTGCTGGAGCCTACCCACAGTCTTTGAAAAGTCTCAGCACTCTTCTGGATTTTGGGGCCCTCACAGGTGAAAAGGATACTGTGCTATATTTCAGAAAAGGACTGCATGTAGTGGAATGTTTCTTCAAAGAAATCCATACTACTGAAGTTGTGTAACTTTTCTCCTATGTAATTGCATATCAAATCACAGATGGTTTTAGAAGAATTGCTGGGTATGCTGTGTTCAGAATGTGATGGTCGTATCCTGGACTCCTCTATGTCTGCTCCTTGCTATTCACTGTAATTTGAGTTTAAAGTATAAATTCAGACAGATAATTGCACACTTTTTGCCAATAATTCAGCGTACTTCACTGAAAAAATAGATTTTCTATTTGATTAATTTTAAAAAAAAATAAAAAATCATTAACATCCTTGGTTTTCATCCAGGTCTCGGGAATTGAAATGACCCTCAAGGTCAGTTCCCTCACAACTAATTTTCATTGTTTATGTCTATACTGAAGAGGACTAAATCTGAGACAGTCACCTAGAAGTGAGCATTTGTAGGATGATTCATCTGCCATATTTTTTACATCATCTGAAAGATGAGATAAATTAAGTTCTTACTCTTCCATCAGATGGATTCCATTCCCAAGCTGGACACTGGCTGCCTACATACAGGGTTTGGATCATATGGTATCTAGGAAAAGGGTACATGGTTTCAACTTTAAAACTGCTTAGGGAAGCAACTAGTTGATCCTGAATATGACCTGGACTTGATGTATCTGAATTTCCTGAGTTCTCCTGGACTACAAACCAGGGTACCTGTGTCTGTGAGTTTCAGTGACTGATCCCTTCCTCCCCAAAATGTAAACCCCCACATTCTTTTGGCTCACTCCTGTTTGCTGAAAACAGGCTTGTGAGCAGGGTCCTACAACCATAAAAGCAGACACAGTCCTTGCCAAGTAAGATGAAGATTTGTTTTAAGTCAAATCTGGGCCCAAGCTTGCATCTCCCATGAGACTGGAGGTTATGTTAGGAGACCCATGGCAAAGCTGAGCTACTGGTTCAGACAAAAATGCAAGATTAATAAGTGCAGAGAGAGTCTCTACATAGGAGTTGTCAGACACCACTGAAGAGGACATCTTAGCTGCAGTTGCAGTCATGCAGGCTAAGCAGCAGCAGCGAGACCAGCACTGCAAAAAGCCCCAACCACTTTATACTTTGTCTGAGTGGTATTTCTTTATTTTGTTGAGTTTACTCTTCCTTTTTTCCCCCTGATAAAATTCATGAAAACAGCTGAAAATATTTTTTTGTTGTTGTTGTAAATATGGGAAATGCTATCAGTGCTGTTAGGTTTTGAAAGTTGTCAAACCAAAGATATTCAGTGAGCTAGAACACTAGCTCCTCTTGTACCAATGGCTTTTTATGCAAAGATATGGACACCAGTTGGTAGAACAATTTACTGTTTCACAAACACTTGGAACAGGCTGTTTCATACTTAATGAAAAATGACACCCCTGTACTGAAATGAAAATGAACACTGAAAGCTTTCCAGTGGACATGCAATCAAACAGCAGGTAGCAGAGAAAAAGAAATGCTGTCCTTGCAAAGTAAATTCAATTCAGATGAAAATAGCATTTCCTCCAGAATTCAAAATATTTAAAGGTGTAAAAGTTTCTTTGCAGGCTTGAAACCTGATACTTGCCTTTACTGACATTCACAGTACTGTATTATGTATTTTTTCTCCTGATGGTTAGCCTTTTACCTAAAAGCAGAGCATATATATATATATATATATATATATATATATATATTTCTCTGAATTTTAGTCCAGGGGAACTTATGCTTCAAACAAGGGATCTATTGCAGCTAGAACAGGAAATCCTACTCTATTATTTTCAGTCCCCTGAAGTACTAGAAACCTGACCCCAACATGGAGCAGACCTTCCTAGGCTCTGCATGGGGAGTGAAGCTGGAAGGGAGTTCCCTTGAGTGTTAAACTTCCTTCAGTGTCCAGTTGAATAAAGAGCAAAAGAAACTACATGTACAATTATTTTCTAACTAATGTTGATATTGTTATCTCTACACATACTGGCAGGAATAACACCTATATTCCAACACACAAGCTTTGCTCTAGTTATAGTGGCAATTAGTGACCTTCTAGCATGTTGTATACCTCAGCATGGACCAGGCATACCTGCAATAGTATGTATTCAGCTAGTTAGACTGAAGCCTGAAAGGAGGCTGTAAAATTAGTTCTGCTATAGCAAACAAGGTGTTATAAAATATAAACTTACATGTACAACACTCTGTGCTTCCCATATCTCACTCTGAAAATGAAACTTGGACGTTGCTGGCATATCTGTCAAATAGAGAAGCTCCAACTAAATGAGCTTTACTTCCCCTTCCCACTCGGAGTGATATAGTGATGCAAGCAGCCAGAGGTGTGACCTGGTTAAAAGGGGGAAATTACCAAACAGCAGACACCTGCTGGATTGCCAACAGAGAAAATGCCTGCCAGCCTAGGAGCTCAGAGCCTGGGAATTGGACCCATGAACCAGAAGCATCCTTGAGTATCGAGGGTGGCATCTTTGAAGTGCATCTCGGTATCTAGAAACTGATTATATCCTCAGATACCATCAATAAGTGAGAAAACAACAAACTGTCATTGCAACTTATCACCCAAAAGATGAAAAATAGTCTGGAACAAAGGGAAAACACCCTAAGAATGTAAGATTTCATAACTGCCATGGGCAGCTATAACTGCAAGGAGAGAGAAAAAGCCTGGAAAATAAAAATTTCTTGAGGAAATAAAATAAATAATAAATAAAATAAAATAAAAAGTTCTTGAGGAATGGAAAGAATCATTCTTTGACTCTTGTGAAAAGTAAAAATCAACAGCACCTACTGGCTAATCAAAATGGTGGTGTCCTACATTCTCTCGTATTTCTATCACATATAAATGATTTGATTTTTATTAAAAATGGAGCTTCTCTCATTCAGAACTTCCTACAGTGCATGTACATTCCCAAACTCTCCACAGGAACTTCCTGTGATATCTTGGTTCCTCACCAGGGACAGTTCTGGCTGACCCTAGACTTCATGCCAGGGATCATCTTTGAAATGAGGCTCTGTTACTCTGTTGGAGCCCCCAGGCCCAGTTCTGGCATCATCCCAGTCTGTCCTCCCATTTCTGGGGTCAGTTTGATCTCCTCTCTAGGATAGTCTGGCCCTTTTTGAAGTCTGTCTAATGCACTTGAAACCAATATTATTATGAACTTATATATATATGCATACACATAATTTATCATAAATACTTCAGTGATTATATTATCATTTTTGGCTTCACTCATCATCAGATGCCTCTTAGGGTATGACATAAGCTTTGTTTCACAGACCATGAAATGCTAATTCATGGTATCACTATTACAACAAAGAATAGAATGTTAATTACAAAATATGAAATTTTATACTACAATTAATAAGTTTAAGAGGAGAACTGAAGATGAAATGGTGCTATTTTCCTAATAGTTACTCAAGTCACTTTTCTAATATTTAGTCAAGACTAGTGACTATTTCAATTCAGTGAGTCTTAAAACCAGCAGAGAGAATATTATCTGTAAGTATTGGCTAAACCCTCTGAAAAAAATGCCACCATGCAATACATAATGTTTAATTTTTTGTATCTGTGAGATCCCATAATCTAATTTTTTGCTAACTCCTAGCAGACCACATGAGGAAAAGCATGAGATCGACAGAGATTTCTGGTAGGGGAATTTTTATTTTTTTGAATTTATTTTATTCAGAATATTCAAACAATTTATTTCCCAAAAGGTGAGAATTTTAAGGCTATTTTTGTATCTTAACTACCTAATTAAACAGGATTTAGATAGCTAAGTATTTTCTGCAGTCTGGTTATTCCCTTCAATTGCAATGTTAACTTTTTTTTTCTACTTTTAATGTTCTCTTTCATACAAACACTAGTTAATTATTATTTTGGAGAGACAGGAAGTCAAGATCGGGAAAATTATGGCTAAACAATAAGTTATTCTGGTCACTTGATAACAATTTTAATGTAATAGAATGTTTATTCTCTCATTCAGAGCAGATTGCACAACATCATGTATAATGAATAGCTAAAAATTGCCTTTGAATCTAAGAAAAGTTGCAGAGTATCATTGTTTTCCAGTTGGTAATAAAACATTAATTTTGGTTCATTTACAGTTGTTCCAAGGAAGAAAAATTACTACAATCTTATGGCCACATTCTTCATTTTCCCCACACTTGGCACAAATTTTGCTGACATTTTAGCAATAATGAGTGCTTGGCAACATATCTTCAGAAGGATCAAACAATATCTTACAACCAGAGAAGCTCTCGTGACAGATGTCCAACTGAAAGCTTTGTCCTGGCTGACAACATAAGCATTTATTGTCCAGTTAAATCTAGGCTAATCTACTTAAATCTAAATATTTAAACTGAGAATTTTTGGAGGTCAGTCAGGATTTTAAATATTGAATGCTTCTCTGCAGTGCTATGTTTTACAAAAAATCTCTCCCCAGGTCTTCATATTGTTTCTGTTGCTAGAAGGAAAGATTTATTTTGGAAATGGAGGGCAGTTTCCTAAGTCTTCATGTCTGTTTTGGCTCCTCAGCTGAATGAACAGATAGATATTGCTGTACAACTTAGTATGTCACCAGTTATGCAAATCACATTGTTGTAAATATTCATAGAATATGTACCACATAGGTTAAGGGTGCAATATATCTTTCCCTCAAATAGTGTCCTAGTAGCATTTGTGCTAGGGAAAAAAATGCCATAATGAGGTGTTTCCTGAAGTTCTTACTTACAGAAGTAATTAAAACTCCCACAGACCTCTACTTTCTGAATTGGAATGGATGTTGTTAATTTTAAATATTCTAAAGAGAAGAACATAGGAAAAACCTCATAGGAATTTGTTTGAAGACATCTGGTGTCCCTGGAGCCATGTTGCAGGAACCAAATTCTATGTTAGGGACACTGAAAGCCCTGAGATATCCTTTTCTGGCCTTTTAGCACTATGCATGAGGTCCAGTGGTCCCAGCAGGTCCCAGTAACTAACCTGAAAGGAATTCTGGCAGAGAACAGATGCAGATGAAGTATTTAGATATTTACACAGAAACTAATCACCATTCTCCTTGTCCCAGTGAATATTTAAACATTTTCTGTGAAGTAGAAGATGTAGAAGATAAGTAAGAAAATCAGGGCTTATCCGAGAATACTTCCACTTTATTGAATCATATAGTCCTTGTATATTTTCAACTGCATACAGTATCCTAGATCCAAATACTAATAGCCTAATTCTAGATAGCACTTAATGATCCCTATCAACAGACTTGTGGAGAGAAGGAAAAGGAAAGGCAGAGGCGTACATCTGCTGTATTAGTTTGGGCCTTTTCCACAAAGCACTGTTTGGCTGAATGTATTCAGAAAACTCCATTCAAATTTATGGATATTTTTGAGTTGCTTAAATCCACATTTTTTAGTGTATAAAATATAACATAAATAAGTTCCAGCTCATTCTTTAGCCTGTCACTAGAAGTATCTGACTCTTCAATATTTCCCTAAATAGATACAAGGAGTAAGTATCCAGCAGGGAGAACAGAAACAAAGAAGGGAATTGGTGAGAAATCAGAAAGAAGATCAAAGTTGGTTTTAGATCTTGTTTTTTTTGTACAAAAGCTGTCCCATGAATAGGAAATTGAAACCAAGTGATTCAATAGCACTCATTTCAGAGGTTGTTGTGTACACTTATCTAAAAACTTCAGCATTGTGGAGTCATTCTGGGCAACACCACTTCCACTGTTTTCCAGGATTTCATTATAACTGTAGGCATTTGTATAGTGGATTCAAGGATAATACACTAGGAGATCAAGGAGAAAGATAAACTTAAAGAAATACACTTTTGAGGCATTTGTAATACACAAAGGGATTAAGTATCTTAGTGCTGGTCAAAGTCTGGATAGCATTTTCTCATAACCTGTTTGAAACTCTGTTCTGTTGTTTTGCTGGAGTCACAGACTTACCACATTGCTCAGTATTTCTGTTTATATCAAAGAATCTTTCTGGATCACAAACTCAGACCTGGTGGCACCCAGTGGTTAAAAGGAACAGGAATATATATCTTGCCTTACAAGAAAAAAAAATTATAGAAGCAGGTGCTGGTATTAAAATGCTTGATATGGTCTGAGTAGAGCTCCCTGCAATGAGAAATGCCACAACTAAACCAGCACTGCCACACATATTCAGTCAAGTTCCACATCTGGGAAGAAATTAAGTAAATCTCAAGTTCAGTTTTTCTTGATCAGGGCTCTTTAATAAGCAGAAAAATTTAAATATCAAGGAAAAAATATTTTTCATATGTGAACTTTGCTTTTGCATCTCTGTATAATATTTCCAGATTTTTCTGTTAAAAAATGAAAGGAGTCAATAACAACAAAAGTAATTTACTGATTGTTTCATTTAAACTGGGTATATTTCTGGAAAGAAATAAAGATTACAACCTAGGTAAAATATCAGGTTTTAATAATCAAGAAGGAAAAAAATGAATAGGCAAAACTCAGAGCATATAATATGAGTACCAGAAGCCAGTGCTATGAGAAGTATTGGAAGGCAGCTGAACATCATATGCTGATGAATAAGGGTAAAGATCTAAATCAATTTCAAACTTATGTGAAAGATGCCACAAAGGTTAATTTACTACAGAGATGTTGCAAGAACATCTGTTCTACCAGTGAGTCAGGAGCATGGAAAGAAATACAGCAGCAGCCAAAGGAGCATAACTATTCTCCAGTGCAAAGAAGAGATGGGGGAAAACTAGGAAAAGGAGGAGGAACGGGAGGTAGAAATTATTAGCAGCTCAACAGCTCTTATAGCTCTCGACTTGAACTCCCTTATACAAAGAATAACACAAGTTCTTAGGTCTTGAAGAAGGGTACATTGTCATTTCACTTTCATTCATGCCATTTAATCTGCCTACAGACATTTTTACATTCAAATCACTTCATTCATCCTGCTACAAATAGTGCTTGTTTGGCAGTTTATTTATTCTACAACATTACCTTGAAAAAAAAAAGTTTTTTAGGGCATGCTGTCTTAGGTAAACTCCTCTATAAGGGAGAATTACAGACAATTCCTGACTGTAATGAATTACATGCTTGTGCAAAAGAGAGCTCATTCTTGGAGTATCCAGTAGACTTTCAAAATGTTTTGCACCTCATTTGCTCCAAGGGATAGTAAACATTTTGCCATGCTGCTCTACAAAAATTCAGAATTGTGATATATAGTAGCTTATCCTGATTAAGGTGATCCATGTTTGTCAGTAAGTAGAAGAGAGCAATATCAGCAGTTGAAGGATTCTTTGGCCAGGGTA